CATTGACGTGAGATCTTTCTTGATTTTAATGCAAAGCATTTATAGCTAGAAGTTTCCTTCTCAGCATGCTTTTGCTGCATCCCATGTGTTTTTGTTTTCATTCATCTGTTAGTATTTTCTCATTTCCCAGTGATTTCTTCTTTGAGCCATTGGTTGTTACAAAATGTTGTTTAGTTCTTACATTTTAGTGAATTTTCTAGTTTTCTTTATGCTGTTGATTTCTACCTCATCATGCTGTGGTCAGGTAAGATACTTTGTATGATACCTATCTTTTAAAATCTATTGAGCTTCATTTGAGGCTTAACATTTGGTCTATTTGGGAAAATGTCCCAGGTGCACTTGAGGAAATCAAGTACGCTCTTCTTGTTGGGTGGAATGTTCTGTATGTATCTATCAGATCTAGTTGGCTTACTGTGTTATATTCTGTTTGCTTATTTATTTTGTCTGGTTTTTGTATTCTTTATTATGAGGGGGGTATTGGAGTCTCCAGCTGTTATTTTAGAACTGTTTCCTCCTTCGGTTGTGTCAGGCTTTGCTACATATCTTTCGATGGTCTCTAAGTGTGTAAATGTTTGTCATTGTTATATCTTGCTCTATTGAAGCCTTTATTAATATATAATATCCTGTCTTATGTAACCTCTTTTTTTTTTTTTAATATTTTTATTTATTTCTAGGAGAGAGAGAGAGAGAGACAGCGTGAGCAGGGGAGGGTCAGAGGGAGAGGGAGTCACAGACCGAAACAGGCTCCAGGCTCTGAGCTGGCAGTCAGCACAGAGCCCGACGCGGGGCTCAAACCCACAAACCGCGAGATCATGACCTGAGTGAAAGTCGGACGCTCAACCGACTAAGCCACCCAGGCGCCCCTTATGTAACCTCTTTTATTTAAAGTCTATTTCGTCTGATATTGGTAGAACCACTCCTGCTCTTCTTTGGTTATTATTTACATGGAACCTCCTTTTCCTTGCACTTTCTACCTGTTCATGTCATTGGGTCACGGAGAGTCTTTGGTCAAGAGAGCATATTGTGAGATCATGTGTTTTCACTCATTCTGCCAACCCGTGTTTTGATTTGAGAGCTTAGTTCATTTACGTGTAAGGTAACTGCTGCTAAGAAGGGACTTCTGCCCTATGCGGTTTGTTCTCTCCAAGTCCCATAGCCTTTTTGTCCCTCCTGGCTTGCATTCCTCTCTTCTTTTGTGTTAATTTTTTTTGTAGTGAAACGTTTAAATCCCTTCTTAGTGTCCTTTGTGTCAGTGCTATAGTAACTTTCTTGGTGGTTACTGGAGAGATTACATCTAACTCGCAAAGGATCTAATACTGATTTATAGAAGCAGAAGTTCGGTAACAGCACAGCTCCATCCCCACCGCTCTCAGTTGTTGGTGTCACAAAATTACATGATACGTGTGAGCCTGAAAATGTAACCTGTAGCCCTTGTAAGTACATGAATCTTTTATGCTGTGTAGACAACAAAATTTGATGTTACAAACCAAAGTTACAATAATACCAGCTTTTAAACAAATAATTTTTATCCTTTCAATATATTAGTCTCTTAAATCCTGTAGCAACAAAAAGAGCCCCTACAGACTATTGTTATAATAACACTAGCTTTTATAATAGCCCTCTATTTACCTTGATTCACATCTTTATTTCTCACACAGCTTCAAGTTACTGTCTAGTTGTCCTTCATTTCACCTGCAAGACTCCCTGGAACATTTCTTGCCGGGCAGGTCTAGTCATAGAGACTCTCTCAGCTTTTATTCATCTGGGAGTGTGTGAATTTCTCCCTCACTTAGCAAAGACAGTTTGCTGGATACAGGATTCTTGGTTGGCAGTTATTTTCTTCTAGTTATTTGAATGTATCGGCCCACTGCCTCCTGGCCCCCAGTTTCTGATGAGAAATGTTAATGATTGGGGCGCCTGGGTGGCTCAGTCGGTTGAGCGTCCGACTTCGGCTCAGGTCATGATCTCGCGGTTCGTGGGTTCGAGCCCCACGTCGGGCTCTGTGCTGACAGCTCGGAGCCTGGAGCCTCCTTCAGATTCTGTGTCTCCCTCTCTCTCTCTGACAGTCCCTGCTCATGCTGTCTCTCTCTCTCTCTCTCTCAGAAATAAAACATTAAAAAAAAATTTTTAATAAATAAAAAATAAATCAATGTTTAGTAGAGGGGCGCCTGTGTGGCACAATCGGTTCAGCATCCAGCTCTTGTTCTCGTCTCAGGTCGTGGTCCCAGGATCATGGGATTGAACCCCACAATGGGCTCCTTGCTCACCTTGGAGCTTAGGATTTTCTCTCTCCCTCTACCCCTCTCTCCTGCTCATACTCTGTCTGAAGTAACATAACAAAATAAAATACTAAATTAAATATAAAATATTTGGTAGAATTCACTTGTGCCATCTGGTCCTAGAATTTTTTGTTTGTCAGGAGTTTTCTGACTATCAGTTGAATTTTATGACCCAGTAATCAGTCTGTTCAGATTTTCTGTTTCTTCCTGATTCAGTCTTGGAAGATTGTGTGTTTCTAGGAATTTATCCATTTCTTCTAGGTTGTTCAATTTGTTGGCAAAAAAATTTTCATAGTAATTTCTTATAATCCTTTAGATATCTGTGATGTCAGTTTTAAATTCTCTCATTTCTAATGTTATTTACATGAGTTCTCTTTTTTTTCTTGATGAGTCTGGCTAAAGGTTTATCAGTTTTGCTTGTCTTATCAAAGAACAGCTCTTAGTTTCATTGACCTTTTCTATTGTCTTTTGGTCTCTATTTCATTTATTTTTACCTGATCTTTATTATTTCCTTCCTTGTGCTAATATTGTGCTTTGTTCTTTTTATAGTCTTTTTTAGATGTAAGGGTAGATTGTTTGAGACATTTTTTTGTCTCTTTTTTTCTTAAACATTTATTCATTTTTGAGAGACAGAGCACAAGCCGGGGAGGGGCAGAGAGAAAGGGAGACACAGAATCCAAAGCCGGCTCCGAGCTGTCAGCACAGAGCCCAATGTGGGACTTGAACTCACAAACCACAAGATCATGACCTGAGCCAAAGTCGGACACTCAACTGACTCAGCCACTCAGACGCCCAAGACGTTTTTGTTTGCTTGTTTTTGTTTGTTTCTTGAGGTAGGCCTATATTGCTATAAACTTCCCTCTTAGAACTATTTTTGTTGCATCCAAAAAAAAACTATTGTGTCTCCATTTTCATTTGTCTCCAGAGAATTTTATTTCCTCTTTGATTTCTTTGTCGCTTTCCTGGAATTAGGCTCCACTGATTTTCAAAGTTCCCAGGGTTAAGCCTTGCTGATTTTTAAAGCCAAATATTATGGGTATTCATCTTCCTGGTGCAGGTCCCCAGGACCATGGGTGCCCATGGGGCTTGATCCCCTTACTCCTTAGAGAGTATGACAGCCCCTCTGCATCTGTGATACCTCTCTCACATGCCAGGGGTTTGTTTCCTGACTCAGTCTTTGCCCCTCCTGTCCTTCTTCGTGTGGCTTTTTCTTTCTGTCCGTGGGTGTGGAAGAGCCACTGTACTAGCTTCAGGCTGTTCTCAGATTGCCTTGCATTATATGTAGAGGGTACCTGGGTGTATTCACTGCGCCTGTGGGAGGAGGTGAGCTCAGAATCCTTCTCCTCCACCATCTTCCCCATGGTCCCAAGGCAACTGTGTTAAAGTGTGTCTAGTAGATCTGACCTTGGGTCTTTCTTAGGGAAATATCTGGTGAATTTTTCATTTCAGTTACTGTAATTTCAGCTCCAGAATTTCCTTTTGGTTATTTGTTGGCTTTTCTTTCTCATTATCTGTAGTTCACACGTTGTCTTCTTTGTCCCTCTCCAGGTCCTTGATATCTCAAAACAGTGGCTTTAAAGTCTGTCTAGTAGATCTGACATTGGACGGACTCTGTTGAATTATCTTTTTCCTTTCAATGGGCCAAAGTCTCCTGTTTCTTCATGTGCCCTGTGATTTGCTGAGCGCTGGGCATTACTCACGATGCGCTTCCTCTGGAAATCACACCCTCCCCTTCCCCAGGGGCTGCTGTTTTGTCGTTGTTCTTTCCCTTGTTGCGGGCTCTGTGCCGGCTGTCAGCCTCAGGTGTGGACGTAGTGTCTTCTCTGAGCCTTCCCTTGAGCGCGCCCGGTCACTTCCCGATTTCCCGTGTAGGCAGCCGTTTTTCAGTGTCCTGGTCTTTAATGTGTGGCTCCCAAAAGGGGGAAAGTGAAAAACAGAAGGGGGATGAGAGGCACTCGCCCGTCCCTCCCTCCAAGTCGCTGGAGCTGGAGCTGGAGGGGCGACGGCAGCGGCCGCCAGCTCTGTGTCTGCACCTGTGTGCTCAGAGCACCGCGTCCTGCCGTCTGGAGGGACAGGGTCCTTTGCGTCCCCCCGGCTTCTGCAGGCTGCCTGCCACGTGGCTGGGGTGCGGGACGGGTAGGTGCCTCCGCGCTGAGAGCTGGAATCGACCAAAACTGGCTCCTTCCCCCGGACCCGCTGCAGGCCTTCGGCCTGGCCCACGGCTCCGAGGCAGCTCCGTCACACGGGTTCTGCCCCCGCTGTGTCGTCTGGGGGGGGAGGTTCCCGGGGCCCCTGCTTAGCTGTCTTCCCAGAATCCAATCAGGCACTTTTAAACCTTCCATCTATTGCTAATTCTCTTTATCGTAGTTTCATTCCTGCCTCGTCACCTTGCGGTCATTTTGTCGGTTGTGTGGGGGTGGTTTTGGAGGGTTCCAGAGCTAACTGTAGGGAGTCCACTGGACTTGAACTGTGTGGCCAACACAGTTGGGTCAACTGATGCCAGATCCTGTGGGCTCAGGGAAACAGCTGTGCACGTTACACCAGCAGATCATCCTAGAGGTTGAGTCTTTCCAAAAAAGCGAAGTCCTGCGCGGACGGGCGAGACTTGTAGGGAATTAGCCTTTGCGGGGTCCCGGGGCACGTCCGAGGAGCGGCCGGCAGAGGGTCGGGCCCGGGGCAGCCGCGTCCTGACCGCCCCCCCCCCCCCCACTGCCGTTTCAGAGGAGGCCGAGCACTGCAGCTTCGGGGCGGGCTCCCTGTCCCGCCGCAGGAGGGCGCTGGCGCTGCGCGAGGACGGGCCCCGCCGGCGCGCGCACCTGCACATCGGCCTGCCGCGCGACTTCCGCCCGGTGTCCTCCATCATCGACGTGGACATCCTGCCCGAGACGCACCGCCGCGTGAGGCTCTACAGGCACGGCTGCCAGAAGCCGCTGGGCTTCTACATCCGCGACGGCACGAGCGTGCGCGTGGCCCCGCAGGGCCTGGAGAAGGTGCCCGGCATCTTCATCTCGCGCATGGTGCCCGGCGGCCTGGCCGAGAGCACGGGGCTGCTGGCCGTGGACGACGAGGTCCTGGAGGTGAACGGCATCGAGGTGGCCGGGAAGACGCTGGACCAGGTCACGGACATGATGATCGCCAACAGCCACAACCTCATCGTCACGGTCAAGCCGGCCAACCAGAGGAACAACGTGGTGCGCGGCGGCCGCGCGCCCGGCAGCTCGGGCCGCTCGTGGGACAGCGCGCCCGGCCGCCACAGCCTGCCCGCCGCGCCCGCGCCCGCGCCGCTGCCGCCCGACGACGCGGACAGCGACGACGAGCCCGACGTGGTGCTGGAGGGCGTCCTGGAGCCGCGGCCCGCGCCCGGCGGCCAGGCGCGCGTCAACGGCGCGGGCGCGGCGCACCGGCTGCTCAGCTCGCTGCGCGCCGACCCGCGCCAGGGCCTGGCGCTGCCGCTGCCCGCGGGCGCCGTGGAGGAGCACGGCCCGGCCGTGACGCTGTAGCCGCCGCGCGCCGCCCCCACGGCGACCCGGCCTCTGGGCGGGACGCCCCGATACGCCTGTGTTTCTAGAAGGTCTCCAGGGCCGCGAAGCCGCACCCTCGCGCAGCCGGGGCGCAGCCGGCGCCGGGCCCAGCGCTTTCGTGAAGGAAGTGGCAGGAGGGGTCCGGCCAGGCGCAGCAAATACTGCGTTTTTAAATCCCTTTCCTAAGTGAAGCTTTACACTCACTTTCTGAAAGTAGATCCGTGTTTCCCACGTGACCCACGCGGAAGCGACCTGCGCCGCTGCTGCTCGTGCGGCCGTGCGGGGGCCGGGGCGGCCTGTTCCTGCAGACTGAGCCTCAGGTAGCCGAGCACGTGCCGACTCCCAAGCAGCCCCGGAAAAGCTCGCCCGGGGCCGGGCACCTGCGGGGCCTCCGGGGCCGAACTTGCTGTGCAGATTGGAAGGTGACGCTCAGCATTACTTTCGTGACCCAAAGCCCCCATTTACTCGGAGATAAAAACCAGTCTTCCTGTGGATCGACTGAATCTGAGGGCAATTTTCGACATACCTTCCGAGGAAATGATGGCGAAGCCTACCACACACACCACGGGCGGGCCTCTGAAAGCTCAGAGTCCTTTGGATGTCTGGTTTCTGTTGTCTTTGTTTTAAATTAAGTCACGTGGAACTTACTGATTTTTAACACAGAGTAAATGCATTATCACTCCCCTTTGATCTTCCAGCAATATTTATATATTTAGTAATTTTATAGGTTTATTCATGTTTGACCCGATTTTATATGAAGTGTATTTTGTTTGAATCCAATGTGGAGGATAAAATGTTATACTTTGAGAACTAAACTTTGACCAAATAAAGCTTTCATATAAATACAAGTAAAAATATTTTTTTAGGATGCCTTCCCTGGGGGGAGTAGACGGCTGCTTCTCCTGTGGTCCAGCACCGCCTACTGGTCAGCCACAAAACTGTCCTGACTTCATGGATGTCAGGCTGCTAACAGATGGAAAACAGTATCTCAGCATCTTCATTTTTCTTGACTTCAGTGTAAAAGCAAATAATTTTTCCCTTGGAAACTATTTATTAGGCAGAAATAGCTTTTACTGAGCAGTTGTGATTTCCTGCAGCTCTGCTGGATTTTAGTTGTATGCCAGGGTCACTGTTCCTCGTGTTCCTAAGCACAGGGAAGACCAAAGATGCTTTCCCTTTGAGGCAGAGGGTGAGAATGCAAATACACCCAAATCCACGGGCTCCTGAGCTGTATGAGCGTCTTTTCTGGCATCCAAGCAGTCAGAAGTGGTTTTTTTTTTTTTTTTTTAACTACAATAAGTATTGTAGAACCAAAACTCTAATGCTAGTTACTATCACAAATGAAATATTCTTCTATTATTACAATGAGTTGTTGCTGGGTTTGTAATATCTTGTTGAGTAACTGGATCTGTTACCAAGAAGGGAAGTTATACTTCTTACCATGTTTTAAATTAAGCAAATGTGAATAATTTTTTAGGGAAAGAAGAAAAAAAAGCCTACCACTCCAAGATGTGTATGCTGTTGTTTGTAATGGTAGGAGTTCTGAATTTCTTGGAACAGCTGCTTGCATGTATTTTTGTACCCATATCTTTACTTCTGCCATTTTCTTTAAAAAAAACAAAAAACAAAAAAAAAATCTATGTTGTATTACACATTAAAGTTTTGTTGGTTTTATATATCGAAGAATAAAAACTCTTTCTTTACATTTAATGATACTTTTCACTGGTGTTCTAAATACTGGAGAAATTAGCAATTAATGATGAGCAGAGAGAAGCCTGCGCTCGGAATGGAACGCCTCCAGTATTTACCCGCTGCCTGTCACGTGCCTTATTTTTCACTTAATCTGCAAACGTGCTCCATGAGGCAAGGAGGAGCCTTGTCCCTTTTACAGATGACAAAATGGGCTGAAGCTCAAGCAGGCAGCAAGTCATTCCAGATAACCAGTTATAGTTGTATTTGATGGGAGATAGATGTGTTTTAGGTCTAGAAACTTCTTTTTAAGTCCTTTTGAAAAAGATTTTCCAAATGCTTACCATACACCTTTTCTTAAATATACCCAGGTTTGCAAAATTGCCATTAACGCTTCATCATTCTGACATTACTAAACGTAGCGCATAGCATCATGATCTGCTCATTCAGGTATTGCAAGTGTTAGGGTGATAGCAGTGAGCACCAAGAATTCCTGGAAGAAATGTGCTTTTTACAAGCATTCATCAGCTTAACTCTTTCAATGACATGGAGCTGTGGCAACCCTGTCCCAGTTCAGAGCTGGGGAAACTCAAAAGCTGGATGGTCATGGAGCTGGAGATGCAGGGCTCAATCCCGTGCTGGGCACACACACCCGGCTTACATCTGGGGAGGGCACGCCTCCCTGACCCAGTCATCCACAGTGCCAAGCCAGGGCATGTGTGCTGTTCAGAGAGGCTGATGAGACTGTCCATGAATCCGCAGTTATGTAGCATTTTGCAGTATTACACAAAGTGATCGCACAGGGGGAATGGGTGTCACGGCAAGTTGAAAAATGCGGATAGTTAAAAAATCCAGGGGCGCCTGGGTGGCTCAGTCAGTTAAACGTCCAACTTCAGCTCATGTCATGATCTTACACTTTGTGAGTTTGAGCCCCACGTCGGGCTCTGTGCTGACAGATCAGTGCCTGGAGCCTGCTTCGGATTCTGTGTCTCCTTCTGTCTCTGCTCCTCCCCCGCTTGTGCTCACACTCGCTCGCTTGCTCTCTCTCTCTCCCCACCCCCCAAATAAGCAAACATTAAAAAAATTTTTTTAATCCAGTTTAGGTAAAATATGAGGTAAGTCTGCCAGCAGAAGGCCATGAAGTTATTGTCACGTCTCCATCAAATGTTTTGTGTTTTTTTTTTTTAGAAGTTGTGATATATCTCTCAGGTCCTTGTTCCCAAGATGATCAAGAAAAGGAGTAACAGTCGTGGCAGAAAAGGGCCACGGCTGCATGTAGCCTATCTGCTGCTCCAGCTGTACCCATTGCATGTCCCGGACAAGGCCATTAAGAAGTTCATTACTCAAGGGCACCTGGGTGACTCAGTCATTAGGCACCCGACTCTTGGTTTCAGCTCAGGTCGTGATCTCACAGTTTGTGAGATCGAGCCCTGCCGTGGGGCTCCACGCCGACAGTGCATGGCCTGCCTGGGATTCTGTCTCCCCCCATCTCTCTGCCCTTCCTGGCTCTTGCACATGCTCTCTCTCTCAAAATAGTTTTTTTTTTTTTTAAGTTCATTATTTGGAACACAGAAGAGGTCGCCACCATCAGGGACATTTTGGAAGTGAGTCTCTTCGACGCCTGTGTGTTCCTGAGCTGCATGTGAAACTACATTACAGGGTCAGCCCGCCATTTACGGCAAGGGACCCGGGAGCCACTCCCCTGAGGCACCAAGGTCGGAACTCCCCCACCCCTATTCAGGCCCTCAGGCGCTACGCTACGACTTCCACCAAAGCCTGTGTAAGGAGCTAAGTCCTTAAGGCCTGAAGAAAAACTGTCTCTGGAAAAAAGTAAAATGGAGATTGTCCTTTAAAAATATATAAATGGACCAACAAACGAGCGAACAAAAGCTCTGATGCAAGTATGAGCCCTGGTGGTCTACACGTGAAGAGAGAGAGCTGCCAGCACGGGCGGCACCAGGCTGTTCTGTTGGAGAAAACGTATTCACAGCAGGAATTGGTGCGCTGAGGTATTCGTCGCAACACTAAAAATCAGTCACAGTGCTCTAACAGTTCACCTGAAAATGACATAATAAGGCTGAACTAGCAGCCAGTTCTTCGATACACAAAAATATTTAATATGAAGCCCTAAACACTACACCTGAAACTAATATTACACTATATGGTAACTAACTGGAATTTAAATAAAAACTTGAAAAAAAGATTTAATATGTATTGTTTCTATTGAAAATATGAACCTACTTAGCTGATTTCCAGCTTGTACGTGGATAAGGTACGTTGACACAGGCTGGAGGGCTCTCCCACGTCTCAAGCCCCGACTGCAGTTCTGTGTCAGAATCGGCCAGAGTTGACTGCCCCCACACCAGAGACTTGAATTCAGGAGATCTGTGGGTAGGGCTTGAAATTTTTCATTTCTGGCAAGTTCCTCGGTGATGTGGAACCTGCCAGTCCAGGAATCACGCCTTGGGAACCATTAGCTAATACTCCAAAACCTGGTTGCCTAGCGAGTGCTAGGATTTGCCTCAGAGTAAATGACCTTAATGACCAGAGCCCATCCAACAGGCATCAGGACTCTCCTGCAGCATGTTATATGCTGGCCTACATGTAGCATAGCCCTGACGGAACACCAGGTAGCCTGCACACGTACGTCCTGACGTGCAGAAGCACTTCCTGTACGTCACCCGTCGCCCCCCCAACACTGATGCCACACCTGTGTACCTACTCTCCTTTCTGCCTCTAATGCCAGATTCCTTATCCCTGAAGACACCCCAAGTCAATATACAAATTCCTTCTCCCTCTTATATTTTCTCACCTTGTTTTCTTCTCCTTTATCTTCATAAAAAGAGAACTTTTGGGGTTTGAGAATTTTTTTACTACTGAACCATGTTTTCAAGGAATGGAATAAACTCGTTATATTAATACAAAAACAAACAAAATGATTCAACATTGGTCTCTCCAGCCCAGGAAACAAGTGCCATCTTCCAAATCCCCTTACCCAGAGAGCTTTAAAAGTGAACACGTTATTTCCTGACCTGAACCCTCTTGACCTCACGTGAATCTGCCGAGGGAGGGACTGTGCAGCCAGAGCTCTTCCCAGGAGAGAGACCTGTGCTTTCAAGCTACGGTTTTTTTCCTCTCTACAGATGCTTAATTTTTATTCACAGTGGTGTGCACCGCCACAAGTCCCCAGCTGGCACCGTGGCCCTACAGGGACACTTAGAACACCTCCAGGGAAGGTGGGGAACGTGCCCTAGTCCCCATGTGAGGTCCAGCCACGGAGTCACACGTGGCTGAGTTCACACCCCTGCACTGCACACACCTGGCACGGGTGTGCCGTAAAGACATTCCCCTGCACCCAGTTTCCCCGGCACCTCTTCAGGCGCTCAGGTGGGAGCCTGCGAACACCACAAGACACCTGAAGCTTTCACAGAAGTTCACGTCAGCTATCTTCATACCCCGAACCG